GCCGATCTTTGATCGGGCGAGCGGGGGTGCTCACGAAGTGACCTTCCCCAATCGTACCCAAGTTCCCGAGCCGAGGCAACTTTGGTGATGACGGACACGTGGCCTTTGGCACCGAGTCAGGGTTTCCTAAATTTCCCATTAAAAAAATATTTAGGTGGCGACTCTGTATCTGGCAAAGCAGTCCATGTTTGGCACTTCTTTCAAAAATCTATTTTTCTCAAAACGATTTGCCGGACTTGGACTCTTTGGTTCAGATTAAGAACCGTGGCAATTTGAGAGTCCGAGCTGTAGTGACCCCAAATGAACGGAACGGGAGCTCGTCCCTCCCGGGGCGTTCGGGGACGTCTACACTATCTTTTGAGTTATATATATATATTGATTGTTACATATTCTATGTATGAACCCTTTTGTTACTTATGAGACCTTGTGTCAATACCTTTTAAGATCTGTCAAAAGAGTAGTGCGCTGCCTAAGAAAGCTGGACTTAGAAGGGAGGCTATTTTGACTCCTCCGGCGATCTGGGATCTTACTTGGTTATTGACCGTAGGACTCATTAGTGACTCTCCCTTGACTGCAACCTATAGTGTAGAATCGGGGCGTCACAATCTAGGCTAAGCTGATTGAACTAATCAAATTAAACTAATTAGACTAATTATTACACAACAAAATAAAGCAATAGCTAAGCTAAGCTACTTAATTATTACAACACTTAACTAATTAGTAAACCAATCAATTAAATTACAAAACCATGCTAACTAAACAAGTAAAGCATTAAACTACACTGCCTCTGCTCTGTTTTGGAAAGTTGAACATGCATGCATTCGGTTTTTGCCCAGTAAAGTCCACCGGTTTGCTCTTGAGAGGCTCTGTTTACAGGGTTACTCCAAGAACTTTCTGCGACACCTTACCAAACCAATACTGGGAATGCACCAGTGGCCTGCTGGCCATGATTTCTTGCTACTGGCCATCTGCCGGCCAAAGAGAGGCATCGCCGGCCAATGATGAAGCACTGCCGGCCATAAGTGAGCCACTGCCGGCTACTGGTGTGCTGAATTGCCACACTGCAACAGAGCACAGACAGAGAAAAATATAGGGTTTTCCAAGGATATGTGTGTACTGTGCCCCTCCTTATCATCTCAAAACATCAAGGGAGTGGCACTCTTGGATCCAAAATCACCAATCAAGCATTTTCAATCCATGATGGCCAAAGATCCAAGTTGTATACTTTTAATAAATGCACAAAAACATGACTCAAAGGACCATCACCCTATCATGCATCATCAAGGGTGATGGAGACAAAGGGGAATGGCTCATTTCATCACCTTGAGTATGAAATGGACCAATTTACCGTGTGTTCAATATAACGTCTAATTGAACACAACGCAATGCAAACACAACATGCTTATCTTAGTCATGTTTTACTTGTCCGATTTCATTTACTCAATTTAGCATTACCAAGCCATTGTTTAACCAGTTAAGTCCAATGTGTTTGTCCTCTAATGAGAGAGGGGTTAACAAAAGGATGGTTTAAGACATGAGAGAGATCATGCCTTTGGCTAGTAGAAACCCTCAAAAGAGAGTTAAAGCCATTGAGAACAAGCTCTATCTCAAGCTTAAACACAATCATAAAGTTAACCAACCCTCAAAATAAATGGAAAAATGAAGAAATTAGGGAGGTTGCAGAATTTTCAATGCTGAAATGGCATGAAAAATAATGCTAAAACATGCAAGCAACACATGCACAACATGTTAAGAGCCAAAAGCATTAAAGCTAGTGAAGAGCACTACACTAGAGGCATGCCATATCAAACTCAAATAACCAAACCAACTTTGGACAGAGCTAAAACATGCCAAAATAGTGGCCAAAACATGCTGAGATGGAAGCATAAAAGACCAAAAAACATGCAAACATGTTGGCTCACAAACAAGGCTCAAAGCACAACTCTCAAAAGCCATAAAAGGGTGATAGAAGTGAGAGTAAGATAGAGCTATAAACACTGAAATTATATGTTAAATGATGCTACAACATGCAATGATCTCATGCAAAACATGTTAGAGGCCTTGAAACACAAAGCTAGTGAAGCCATTTACACTACAACCATGCAAGACAAGACTCATATGACCAAGCAGGCTCAAAATAGAGCTAAAGCATGCCAAATCAGTAGCAAAAACATGTTGAGATCAAGTCACAAAACGGTAGAAAAACATGCTCACATGCTAGGCCATCTGCACATGCAAACAAGACACAAGGAGGGGAGGCCACCCCCTCTTATTTTGGACTTCAAAACTGTAATAACCCGACCCTCGTACGTGTTTTCTGGTATACTTTCAGTCCCCTATTCTGCGCATTTATATGTTTATTGTGAAATTTCGTATGAAATGAAGTTTAATTAAGTGAATCTTATGAATATAGATTCACATCTGTCTAATAGGGGAAATATATGTTACAATTATAATGTTTGGATCAGAAATTGGAAGCCTTAGAAGCTTAATAATCGAAAATATATTTTACATTTAAGATCAACATGATTTTTAGGTCATAATATGATTTTCTGTGAAATTTCAATTTGGAATGATTAAACTGATATGTTTTCGTCTTTATTCACTTTTATATAAACTTAGTTCTTTAAACACTTGATTCCTAATCCTTAACTCAAAATATCTCCTGAGAGAGAGGGAGTTAGAGAAGAAGAGAGTTGAGAGGAAGACTTCAACAAGGGAAAAGATAGGAAAATCAAGGAACTTGTGGAAAATTTGAACTAAGGTATGTAAGATTCACCTTAGATAACCTTTTTCTTAGAGTTTGGTGAGAATTCCCTTTTCATTCATATCACTTAGGGTTTGTAATTGTGATCTTGTGTGTGTCTGTTGGTTAATTGGCAAGATAACCTTACCCTTGATTGTTTTGACTTAACTTGAACTATCTAGTAGGGAATTACATTCCATCCCTTCAATTGTTATGTTTGAGTTCATCTATGTGAACAATGGTTATATATATGTATATGTGTGAAAGTTGGATATATCATAGAAATGAGCTATGTTTTTGAGTTTCAAAGAATTAAAAACCTAATTCATATTCCTACTTAGATATGTTTGTGAGTGCTATTTATATATGATTGAACCATATTCTAATAATAAATGGATCTATTTTGAGCAATATGAGATGTTTACCAAGTTGGGTGTTTACTTGAATTTTGGACTGCACAAACAAGGCAGAATCGCCGCAAGTGTGGGGGTCATGGCTGCACGTGCTGGAAGCACTGTCGCACGTGCGGAGCTCACAGCCGCACGTGCAGAAAATAGGGGATTTTGGGCTAAGGCTACTGGAAAACAGGCACGTGCGGGACCTCACAGCCACACGTGCGGGGCTCACAGCCGCACGTGCGGCCCATGTTGGGAAATTTTGTTTGCTCCATTTTATGTGCTTGACCCTCTGATATTATTGAAATCTGTATTTGATGCCTTTAAATGTTTGTAAATTCGTTCGAAGCGAAACAAATCAGAAAATGATTTAAAAAGGAAAAGGAACTAAATTGAAAATTGTGCATGTGTTTAGGTCACAATCTGGGAGGAACTATCGCTCCGCTACAGCACAGTGAATAATAGTATGCATAGTACATTTAGTTTATTGTTAACAGTTAATATTAACATTCTATTCTCCGTAAGTGAACTACGTCATTTCTTAATGAATAAATGGAACTTATGTTCATTCTTGAACAATGGTATCTGTGTGAATATGAGATCATTTTGGTTTGCTACTAATGGGCCTGAGGTCGTTTTGTAATGAGCCACCGAGTGTGGGCAATTCTGAAAACAACTGTTGATATCTGGGCCTGAGGCCACTCTGTAAAATCTGCAGGGCCTAAGGCCAATCTGTAAACTCCGTTGGCCTAAGGCCAATCTTTAAAATTTGTTAAGCTTAAGGCCGTTCTGTATGTTACTGGACTTGAAACCACTCTGTTTAAAGACTGGGCCCAAGGTCGTTTTGGAAATAATTACAGAATAAGATTATCCATATGTTCTCTGCATTTGTATACATTATAGTCCAAGGTAATCATTACTTTGTTTAAGAACAATTATTCATTGAGCTTCGCTCATTCCGTGTTATGTCTATCTCTGTAGGTACTCAATCTGAAGGTCAATCCTAGTCCGGCTTAGACCACCAATCTTTTGCTCATTACACCACGACCAAACATTTAAACGAAGCTCATTCCTTTTTGTGGAGTCCTTGCAGAGCTTTTAGCCTAGTGCCATGAATCTTGTGTCTGATGTTGTAAAACATGTTATTCTTCCCTCATCATAGTTTTGTTACACCCTCAGACTCGGGGGTGGGCCTGTATATTTGTATATATATTATTATGTGTGTGTGTATCATACGTTAAATTACCTGACTTAAAGTGTTTGATCCTGGCATGTTAGTGTTAGCTCAATGGATGTTATTATGCGTTGTTAAATGCTTCCGTTCAGGCCCCATACGTTATACATATTGAATTTGATGCCCGTTTCTGAGTAGGTCATGCCAAAATTTTAGGGGCGAGTTTGGGGCGTGACAAGTGGTATCAGAGGACGAGTTGCTATCTCACACACGAATTCATTGAGCCTTAGGATGTCTAGAAAAGACTTAGGCATCATGCATAATATTCTGAATGCATATGGAAAGATTGATGGCAACATTAAATGTAATCTGCTAACGCTAATGATTTGGATCCATGTTTATTGTATATTCCTTGTGTATATTGTAATTGATTATCATGTAGAATATGGTGAGAACAAGAACGGAAGATCCGGAAGATGCTACTTCTGCACGGTTGGACAGAATGTAAAGAATGATCATGGAAATGGCAGAGACTTTACGGCAACAACAGCAATAGCCACAACCGCCACCGCGACCAGTACCTCCACCTACGGTACAAGATTTTCATGTTGAGGACCGGACTATCACACTCACGAGGGAATTTAAGAAGATGAAGCCACCATCATTCAAAGGAGGAATAGAACCAATGAAAGCTGAAGCGTGGGTGCTGGGGATAGAAAAGTTGTTCGAGGTTTTTCCTTGTACTGAAGCCCGAAAAGTGCAACTTGCTAGCTTCACTCTGGAAGACGAGGCACGGAGGTGGTGGATGCTTACAAGAACTGTACACCAAGGGTTAACATGGGATTGATTCTTGGAACTGTTTTATGACAAGTACTTTCCTCAAAGTATACGAGACAATAAGGTGACTGAATTTGAAACTCTTAGACAAAGAAATAAGACCGTTGCAGAGTATGAAGCTCAATTTGCAGAACTAGCTCGGTTTGCACCTCATATGGTGGATACGAATTATAAGAAGGTACGAAAATTTACAGGGGGATTACGGAGTGCTATCCTGGATCGAGTCAACATGTTGAAGTTACCCACCTATGTTGATGTGTTAGAGAGGGCTGTTATAGTAGAAGTAAATATTGCTGCACGGACTCGGATTTCCGAGTGGAAAGGATAGAGGCAGAACACACAATTGTCAAAGGGGTCAACCACTCCACCTAGCAAGAAACAAAACTCAGGGACTTCTAGTTCTTCCACCCTTACTCTAGACTCGACTCCTGTTTGTTCAGAATGTGGAAAGAAGCACCGTGGGACTTGTTATCGGTTGTCTGGAGCATGTTTTCGATGTGGCAAAATAGGTCATTTGGTAAGGGATTACCTCAGAGGAATCAACAAAATGGCAATAGGGCTACTACAAGTTCAGCGGGATCTACACCAACTCCCGACACCAAGTCAGCTGCTAAGCCTGTTAATAATAAAGGCACCGCAAGACAAGGCAGGGTGTTTGCTTTGGTTCTGGGAGATGTGCAAAATGCTGCAACAATGGTGTTAGGTATATTTATTGTTCACGGTCATTCTGCTCATGTATTGTTTGATTCTGGCTCTACCCATTCCTTTGTGTCAAAACTATTCGCTCAAAATTTTGATAAATCTGAAAAAGTATTATCTTATATGCTATGTGTGTCTTCCCCTTTGGGAGACTCTATGGTCTGTACATCTATATATTTTGCTTGTGAACTCCTAATTGGGGATATCCGGGTATATGCCAACTTATTGCCCCTTGACATGACTCACTTCGATATTATTCTGGGTATGGATTGGCTGAGTGAATATTGTGCAACTATTGACTGTTTGACTAAGAAAATCAGTTTCCATCCTCCGGGACAATCAGAATTTACCTTTCAAGGACATGGAGTGACTTCTCCACCTTATTTGATTTTTGCAATGAAGGCTTATAAATTAATTCAGAAAGGGTGTCAGGGTTATTTATGTAGTGTTTTGGAGGGGCAAGTGATAAATGGGAATACTGATATGATTCTGGTTGTCCGTGACTTTCTGGATGTTTTCTTGGAAGAGTTACCAGGGGAGTTAGTAGACTGTGAAATCGAGTTTACAATTGAAGTGGCACCGGGAACTCAACACATTTCTAAGACTCCGTATAGAATGTCATCAGTTGAGATGAAGGAATTAAAGGTTCAGTTACAAGATTCACTTGATAAGGGGTTCATTCACCCGAGTGTTTCTCCTTGGGGTGCACCAGTTTTGTTTGTGAAAAAGAAGGATGGAACACTCCGATTATGTATAGATTACAGGGAACTTAATAAAGAGACAATCAAGAATAAGTACCCATTACCCAGGATCAATGATTTGTTTGACCAGCTACAAGGGGCGCAAATCTTTTCGAAAATTGATGTACGGTCCGGATACCACCAATTAAAGGTCAAAGCCGATGATGTTGAAAAAACATCTTTCCGAACTCGATACGATCATTATGAATTTCTGGTTATGCCCTTTGGAGTTACTAACGCACCAGCAGCGTTTATGGATTTAATGAATCGTGTTTTCAAGCCTTATCTGGATGAGTTTGTAGTGGTTTTTATCGATGACATCCTCATTTACTTGAAGAATGTAGAAGCTCACGAGGATCATCTTCGTTTAATTCTTCAAACACTGCGAAAAAAGAAATTGTATGCAAAATTGAAGAAATGTGAATTCTGGTTATATGAGGTAGCATTCTTGGGGCATGTGATAACAAAAGAAGGAGTTTCTGTTGATCCACACAAGGTTGAGGCAATCGTGAATTGGCCAACTCCTACCAATGTGACGAAGGTCTGTAGTTTCATGGGATTAGCTGGGTACTACAGGAGGTTTGTTCAAGATTTCTCCAAAATCGCTGTACCACTTACTCAACTCACTCAAAAGGGAGTTGTATTTGAATGGTCAGAACAGCGGGAATCTGCCTTCTGAGATTTAAAAATGAAATTAACTACAGCTCCAGTTCTTGCTCTACCATATGGTACCAAAGGATTTGTGATCTATAGTGATGCTTCCCATAGGGGCTTAGGTTGTGTACTTATGCAAAGTGGAAGGGTTATTGCCTGTGCTTCCCGACAACTCAAACCCCATGAAAAGAATTATCTCACACATGACCTTGAGCTAGCCGTAGTAGTTTTTGCTTTGAAGATATGGCGACATTATCTATATGGTACTGCTTGCGAGGATACACTAACCATAAGAGCCTCAAGTACCTTTTTACCCAGAAAGAGTTGAATATGCGTCAGCAACGGTGGTTAGAGCTGATTAAAGATTATGATTTACAGATTCATTACCGTCCTGGTAAAGCCAATACAGTTGTAGATGCACTTAGTTAGAAAAGTATGGAAAATTTGGCAAATTTGCTTACGGAACAAAGAGAGTTAGTGATTGTATTGAATAAAATGAAGGTGGACCTTGTGATGCCTGGGCAGGAGGCCATAGTATTAGCAGTGATGGCCCAACCGACATTACTTGAAGAGATCAAACTATGTCAAATGGAAGATGAAACTTTGAGGAAGATATGTGATGAGTTAGAGACAAAACCGAAACCGGGATTCAATTTGGTGAGTTCAGTGCTCAAATTTCAAGGCAGGTTATGTGCTCCCAACATACCAGAAGTCAAACGGAAATTGATGGAAAAAGCGCATGCCTCGAGATTTTCAATGCATCCCGGGAGTTCCAAGATGTATCTGGATTTAAAACAAAATTTTTGGTGGCCAAGTATGAAAAAGGAGATCGCCGACTTCGTCTCTAAATGTTTACAATGTCAGCAAGTAAAAGCAGAGCATCAGAGACTGGCAGAGTTATTGCAACCGCTTCCAATCCTAGAATGGAAATGAGAACATCTGACCATGGATTTTGTTGCGGGGTTACCACGGACTCCTCGGGGTATGAATTTTGTATGGTTCATTGTAGATCAGCTAACTAAGTCTGCCCATTTCCTACCTGTGAAGACTCAGTATAATGCAGATAAACTTGCTGCGATTTATGTGAATGAAATTGTAAGACTCCGTGGTGTCCCGGTCTCAATTGTGTCAGATAGGGATCCAAAATTTGTTTCGCGATTCTGGAAAAGTCTACAGGAAGCAATGGGTACAAAATTAAAGTTTAGCATAGCCTTCCATCCTCAGACTGACGGACAATCCGAGAGAACGATACAGACATTAGAAGATATGCTCTGAATATGTGTTCTGGATTTCTAGGGAAGTTAGGAAACTCATTTACCGTTGGTAGAGTTGGTGTACAATAATAGTTACCATTCGAGTGTTGGAATGGTGCCCTATGAGGCTCTGTATGGCAGACCATGTCACTCCCTGTGTGTTGGACTGAAGTTGGAGACAGGGCATTGTTAGGGCCTGAAATTGTCCAATTGACAACAGAAAAAATTAAAGCTATTCGGGAACGATTGAAAAATGCTCAAAGTAGGCAGAAGAGTCATGCGGATAACCGACGTAGAAATTTGGAATTTGAAGTGGATAGTCATGTCTTTGTCAAAGTCACCCCAATGAAAGGACATCCAAGATTCGGGAAAAAGGATAAATTAACACCCGATATATTGGTCCATTCCCAATGCTGGAAAAAATAGGATCGGTAGCTTTTCGAGTCGCTCTTCCACCTAGTATGAGTCAAGTACATAATTTGTTCCATGTATCTATGCTTCGAGGATATCTACCAGACCCATCTCATGTCATTGATTTCCACCAAATCGTTCTGGATGATAAGTTGATGTATGAAGAAAGACCAATTCGTATTCTGGATCGGCAAGTGAAACAACTGCGGAATTGAGAAATCCCTATGGTGAAAATTGAATGGCAAGAACATTATGGGACCAAAGCTACTTGGGAAAAAGAAGAGGACATGCAACACCAATATCCGTATCTGTTCCTATCCTAAGGTAAAACAAGTTTGAGGGACGAAACTTATTTAAGGGGGGGAGAGTATAATAACCCGACCCTCGTACATGTTTTTTGGTATACTTTCAGTCCCCTATTCTGCGCATTTATATGTTTATTATGAAATTTCGTGTGAAATGAAGTTTAATTAAGTGAATCTTATGAATATAGATTCACATCTGTCTAATAGGGGAAATATCTGTTACAATTATAATGTTTGGATCAGAAATTGGAAGCCTTAGAAGCTTAATAATCTGAAATTGATTTTACATATAAGATCAGCATGATTTTTTGGTCATAATATGATTTTCTGTGAAATTTCAATTTGGAATGATATATAAACTTAGTTCTTTAAACACTTGACTCATGATCCTTAACTCAAAATATCTCCTGAGAGAGAGAGGGAGTTAGAGAAGAAGAGAGTTGAGAGGAAGACTTCAACAAAGGAAAAGATAGGAAAATCAAAGAACTTGTGGAAAATTTGAACTAAGGTATGTAAGATTCACCTTAGATAACCTTTTTCTTAGAGTTGGTGAGAATTCCCTTTTCATTCATATCACTTAGGGTTTGTAATTGTGGTCTTGTGTGTGTATGTTGGTCAATTGGCAAGATAACCTTACCCTTGATTTTTTTGACTTAACTTGAACTATCTAGTAGGAAATTACATTCCATCCCTTTAATTTTTATGTTTGAGCTCATCTATGTGAACAATGGTTATATATATGTATATGTGTGAAAGTTGGATATATCATAGAAATGAGCTATGTTTTTGAGTTTCAAAGAATTAAAGACCTAATTCATATTCCTATTTAGATATGTTTATGAGTCCTATTTATATATGATTGAACCATATTCTAATAATAAATGGATCTATTTTGAGCAATATGAGATGTTTACTAAGTTGGGTGTTTACTTCAATTTCGGACTACACAAACAGGGCAGAATCCCCGCATGTGCGGTGACCACTGTCGCACGTGCAGCCCATGCTGGGAAATTTTGTCTGCTCTGTTTTACGTGCTTGACCCTCTGATATTATTGAAATCTGTATTTGATGCCTTTAAATGTTTGTAAATTCGTTCGAAGCAAAACGAATTAGAAAATGATTTAAAAAGGAAAATGAACTAAATTGTAAATTGTGCATGTGTGTAGGTCACAATCCAGGAGTATCGCTCCGCTACAACACAGTGAGTAATAGTACTGCATAGTACATTTAGTTTACTGTTAATAGTTAATATTAACATTCTATTCT